GGAGCAGATGTAATTAGAAGACCATCAAACACAACAAGCTAAGCAATACCATAGTTATCATTAACACAGATACTGTGCATGTTTCATTTTAGCACTGTATCATGTCGAGTATTATATCATTGTCAAACTTGGTGAAAAACTAGGATGAAATATCTGTTGTTTCTCCAATATGAACAAATAATAACTCAGGTTTAACCTTACAGTAGAAGTTTATGTTTATTTGTTTGTTCACTTCTCGTGCAGTTGTTTTTCTGTTTGTTTAATTGGTTGTTTGACCGAGTGATAAATTGTCTGATTGGCTGATATCAACAAGAAAGTGCTCCCATTGCCTCCCGGAGGAGAACACATTTAGTCGGGGTGAGTTCAATCCAACTAATTGACAAGGACGTTCTGAGTTGTTTTTTGAAGAGTATAGGTTTTATGATTTAATTCAACCCAAAGATTTCTCCTCATTGGGTCAAGGTGTTCTCTTCGAGCAACATGACGCATTTACAATGAGGGCAAGGACGCTTTTTATCTAATATCTATGCCTCAGAAACTACAGGGCAGGACAAAATACACGTACACATTTTTGTTTTGCTACAATATTGTTGATATTACAGACTAAAGAGTATAAATTATGTTTCATTGGAAAGACAATTCAATTTCCAACAAAATGATATATAATTCATTGGAACAACATTGCTCTTTTTTAATCCTAGTATCATATGTCAACTGCTTCTTCTCATGTCAGGAGATGTTGAGAGCAATCCTGGTCCAATGGATAATTTAAAGATTTTATTTAGTAATGTTAATAGTATCAAGGCAGATTCATTTGCTAGGCTAGAGTATCTTAAAGAATATGCATCAAGAGAGAATTGTCACATAATATCACTTTGTGAAACAGGCAATGTTACCACGGATGATCTAGAATCAAATATGTTTAATATAAGAGGTTTTGGCAAACCAAAGTATTCAACGAACGAGGGAAGAGGCCTTATTCTATGGGTTCATGATACTGTTCAGACTAACGTATGTGAGTTGGACATGTCTAAAGATCTAGCAAATTGCTGGATATCAATTAAGGCTGAACATAAGACTTTCAAGTATGGATTTTTTTATCGGTCACCATCCTTAACTGCGAATGAGACTAGACAATATTTATCAAAATTTAAGGAGAATATCTCCAATGTGTTAATGCAACCAAATGATGGGGTCATTATCAAAGGAGATTTCAATGCCAGAAACAATGCCTGGTATGATAGTGACATTAATAATATGGCTGGTATTGAATTAAACAATGTTCTGACTGATCTTGGTCTTCAACAACTTATTTTTGAACCAACAAGGATTACTATGAATTCCAAATCTTGTATTGACCTACTGATTACAGATTCTGAACATCTTCTATCAAGCTCAGTTGAACCTCCAATAGGAAATTCTGATCACTGTACACTTATTACTAAAATAAGAGTCAGCATTCCAAGAGAACCATCAATTAAAAAAAACGTGTGGTATTATGATGATGCCGATACCAACCTGCTAAATCTCAAAATTGCCGAAGTTGATTGGAATTTTGTCTTTGATTTTCAAGTTAACGATGCTGCTATTAGATTTGCAAATACCTTTCTCTCAATAGTCAAGGAAGTTGTTCCTAATAGAACAATTTCCTCACGGTTTGATGATCAGCCTTGGTTCACAAGCAAAATCAAAAAAGAAATATATAAAAGAAACAAATTTCATCATAAATTTAAAGCTTCGAATAATCCTGTGTTCAGAGAAAAATATGTTGTTCAAAATCAAAAAGTTAATCAATTAATCCAAGAAGCTAAAGCAGAACATGAATTTAATATTAGAAATAAAATAGATAATTTATCTAAAGGTTCTGTGGACTATTGGTCACTGATTAAAGAACTTCTTGGTAAAAACCAAGTCTCATCCATACCTATTCTTTTTGACCCAACATCAAATTCATCAGCAGTCAATAGTTTTGATAAAGCAAATGTCCTCATGAAATATTTTGTCAATAAGAACATTGTGAACATCAATGACAACTATATTCCTTATTTTAGAGCAAGAACTCAAAGTATCTTGCCTGACATGTCAACCTCATCTGAAGAAGTTCTAAATCTAATTAATGATATCGATATTACAAAAGCACATGGTCCTGATGAAATATCAAACAAAATGCTCAAATTATGTGCACATTCTATCGCCGAACCACTTTCCTTACTTTTTAATAGAATATTTCAAGAAAACACTTTTCCTGATATTTGGAAGGAAGGTACAATTGTCCCAATTTTCAAAAAAGGAGATAGAGGACTAGCTTCTAATTACAGACCAGTGACCCTGCTTAGCTCAATCTCCAAAATCCTAGAATCAGTAATCCACAAAAGACTTTTGACTCACCTTCGGCAGCAAAATCTTATTTATCGGCTTCAAAGTGGTTTTCTACCTAAACATAATACTGTCAACCAACTTATTAACATAGTGCATGATATTCATGAAAACATCGATGATAACAAAAATGTCAGATCAGTATTTTTAGATTTAACTTCTGCATTTGATTTAGTCCCACACAAATTATTAATATCCAAACTTAAGGGTTATGGATGTAACCTGAACTTTGTCAAATTAATGACGTCATACTTAGAAAATAGGAGAGTTCGAGTCAAAGTAAACGGTACACTTTCAAAATGGTCTTCCAATAGTATGAATAATCAAAATGAGCCTAATATGCAGACCGATAATTTTGTCATCAATGCTGGTGTACCACAGGGGTCTGTCCTTGGACCCCTGCTATTTCTAATATATATCAACGATCTGCCTGATGAGCTTGTTTCAAAATCTTTCATTTTTGCTGATGACACCTCAATTTATTGTCCATACGAAAAAAATGAAGTGTTTTTCAATATTCACGAGCCAATCCAAAGTGATCTAGACAAGCTTGCTCTCTGGGCTGCCACCTGGAAGATGCAATTCAAAGCTCAAAAAAGTGCAGATATGATTTTTTCTAGAAGGAACATTTTATCTCATCCACCACCTTTGAGATTAGGTGCTGATTTTATTCCTAGCTGTGAGAATCACAAACATCTTGGCCTTAATTTTGACATTCACCTTAACTTTAATTATCACATTGACCAGATAATAAAAAGAGTTACTTCTCTTTTGAGACCGATGATAAAGCTGAGTAAAATTCTAAATAGTCAGCACTTAGAGATATTATATAATACTTACATTATGCCTCATTTTGACTATTGTGATGTCATTTACAACAAGGCATCTAACATGAAATTACAAGCTCTTGAAAGACTTCACTACAGAGCAGCCTGCCTGGTCTCTGGGGCTATACATGGTTCCAATACTATCAAAGTTTTAAACTCTTTAAACTGGAAACAGCTAACAACCAGAAGAATTGAGCACTTAAACATGTTTACTTTTAAATGCAGGTATAACATTAATCCTCCATTTATTTGTGACTTACTTCGGAAATATGAACATATACCGGTCCGCCCCTTAAGACATCAAAGAGATTATGTTCTCCCAACTCGCCTTAGCTTCTCTTTTAAAAAAACTACCATCTTCCAATCTATAACTTTATGGAATAATTTGCCATCAGATACTAGAATGGGTCAACCTATTTCTAGGTTTAAAAGATTAGTAAGAGAACACAAGAGCCCAGTCTCTTTAATTCCAACTTCTAAATTGAATGTGACCTTACCCAGACATATTGAAATACCTTTTAATAGACTCAGGTGTGGCCTTTTACTTAAAGCACACCTTTATGCACATAACTTTAATGACATTAGTGACCCTTTGTGTAAATGTGGTGTTCCATTGACTACCTTGCATTTTCTTTTAAATTGCCCACTGCTCCATGATGAAAGAATCAACCTCATTGCAGGCCTTCATACTTACAATTTAGGAAACCTGTTTAACAGCTACAATTTGAATGATAAATTACAATTTTTACTTTTTGGAAAAGATGATTTAGATGCATCAACAAATGAAGAATTAATTCATATTGTTAGTTATTATATATACACGAGTTTCACTATCATATCACGTCTGTGACAACAGGTTCCGTTTCTTCATTTTTCTGCTCTTTCCTTTTTGTCATCATCCCCGCCCATGGGATTTCCTTGATTCAGTGATTTGGAATTAAGAATATATGTAAACCTTTTGTATTTTATATTATATCTATTATTTCATTTATGTTATATTATTTAATTGCCGCTAATGTTGCAAAACTTTGGCAATCAGCTAACTTTGTACATCTATGTTATTATTTGAAATAAATCGATAACATGAAAAAAAAAAATATATAATTCATTCAACACAATTAATTAATTAATTGTATAAATTAGTATTTGTCTTAAAATATAATTTCGATTACCATAGGGGTCAAAATCATCATTTACCAATTGCTGAATATATACAGAATGCCAAGAACTGACCAGACATAACCCCTATGATTGTCAGTTTAATACAATTTCTCCAGAACGTGGATGAATACAACAAACAGTTAGAAATGATAACTGTGACATCTATGATAGAAAAGGAATAAAAAATAGGAGCCATTACAAAATTACGGACACAAAAATTGGATACAGCAATACTCAATTGTAGAAATTATGTCATCAAGAAATAACTGATCCATTCCCTAAAAACAGACGTGGATACTACAGATCAAAAAGAATGCATATCAATTATTCATGGTAACTAAAATTATAATGTAATGGTGCCACAATGACTGTGGAATTACCTTTAAACATAACTTGACTAAATGTGCACGGGACCAACAAAATCGATACCTAGAAATTCTAACAAAATAATATGTTATTTATTATATAAATATTATTTATTATGATAACCTGTACTGATGTACATTATAATTCATATTCACTGTAAACTGTGTGTACCTCACAACAAGTCACATATTCAAGTGTGTGGATCCCACACCACAGTGTGTGGATACCCCACACAACATATATTCAACTGTGTGTACCCCACACCACATATATTCAAGCGTGTGTACCCCACACCACATATATTCAACTTTTTCAAAGTTAATGCACTGATAATGAAATGTCTCCATTAAAACCCAATTATTTCATTACTAGATGAATAACAAGAATCATCAATTTGCAAGGCGCGATTTTGAAAGTCATTTCATTATTTTCATTGTATCAAACACATTCAACTAATAACAGGTGCACTAAAATATGAGCCTGGAAAAATGTTTCAACACCAGTGTGGTTAAAATCAGTGTTAGTTCATAGGACTTCCACAAATACAGTCTTCTACTTCTGATGACCCCTAAAATAGTTCGTAAATGAAATTCAAATATATGCATGCTGAAAATGCATTCATAAGATGTCACTCCATAGCCTCCAATGACCTTATACCAAGCCATTCCCTCAAAGCCTTACGCATGATTCAATTCAGGGTACAGTATTGCATGATCTCCCAAGACAAATACATTATTATTTCAATTTACATTAAGAACAAAAAAAATACCAATTATGTAAATAAAACATAAGATCATAGAACTGGTTCATAATTTAAATGGCATGAACATCTAGAACAATATATAGTGTCAAGTGCCTTACATGCTGACATGCACAGTTTTCAATGACCATAGTCAAACAGATGATATGAAAATGTGGAGTACGTCAACTGAGTTTTAGTTAAGAACAGGAGTCATATACTGTGTTATATACTTATATGTACATACTGAATGGACAGTGCTTCTTTGATTTAACAGTGTGTCTTATATGCATACATTAGAATAGCCACTTTACACAAATATATACAACTAATGCGAGCACACATAAACGTTAAATAAATTCATCGATTATATACATATACTATTTACAATAAATATGCACCATTGTTGTCTGTAAAACTACACAACTTGTACAAAATATTTCATGATAGTCAATCTGGATGGCTCAAAACAAGAAAAACCTCAAGGTTTATACTACTCATAATTTAGCATAAATATAAGAACTATTACAGTCTAGGGCAGGGACACAGAAAACATATTTTAAAGAGGCTTTGCATAAGCTGAATAACAAATCATAAATTAATTATTAAGAATAAATGATATCACTAATAAATATAACAAGTAATCCCAAAAATGAGAAATGTTATTTTGAGAAATCGCGGGAATACCTTGGTTGACTATCATGAAATATTTGGATGTCACATGATTTGTTAAAGGCTCCTTTCTTGAGATATTTGAATAAAATCCTGTGTTTAAATTTCTGTTTTTTAGATACCTTGCAAATATATACACCTCTTGATATGAATATATACATCTCATGAAAATTATTTCACGTTATCTTCAGTATTTTGCTTAAACAGGCATAGTCTTGTATTAGGTTGCATTGCCCCCTCCCAGGGGAAAGCATGGGACACAATGGAACTGGATACAAGACTAACATATAGAACTTTTTAATTGAAAATATACAATGCTTGTAAAATAAGAATCTCAAGTGATGTACAAAATAAATGTTTTTAATATAATCTTAACTACTGGTGAATAGTGTTCATTGGTGATTGGTGCTTCTTAATCACAATATATAAGTATATTTTGCTGGTGTCAAAATGGTCACAGAATTTACCATCATTAAAAGCACAGAAAAGTAGTGTGTGTAATGTTTCTCTCCAGAGGTTTTGCTATATACATGAAATACACTCATGATATAACACAAATAATTGTCGCTACAAAAGTGTTTCTCATTTTAAAATTGCATAAAATCTTACATTCAGATGTAGTGTCTGAAATATTGCTTTTTAGGTTAAATAGTAATGTACAAATACAACATACATACTTGCATAATCATGTGTTGTCTGTGGGTATAAACAAGACACACAGTGATAAATATCGCACTTTGAAGAGCAAACTGGCCACCATGCAATTTACCCAGCATGGCCAAAACCTAATCAGACCTTGGCACTAGTCTGCTCTTGCATCTGTAAACATTTCAAGTTGACAAGGTTAGCGGTTTTCCTGCAATTTTGATGACAAGAATTAATTTGTAGTCTTGAACTTTGGGAAAATTTAGATAACATTGTTTGTGACCTAATTTGATGACCTTCGACCTTGAAAATTTCACTTTTTCAGACCTCAGTAGGTCTTTTGTAATTAGCTGACCTAAAGGATCTTGTACACCTGCCATTATGATCTCCCCATGAACAAAATGAATCATTTTTAGGTGTAATATAAAGAATACAATGTTACATAATACTTTGGAAAATTTTTTAAGCGTTTGGCCCCACATGGGCTTAGAGTGGGGTCATTAAGTTCAGCAAGGGTGTATTGACTTGACATTGGATGTGTTCTATTGACTTAACATGTGGATACCATCAGATTCCAATGGAGGCCATTGGTTTCTATTGATTTTCACAAAAACTCCTAAAATACACTATGACCTGAATCGATTGCAAATTAAATAATTTCACAATATGACACAAATGGTATTTCAGATCAGATGTGCAAATATAAAGTTTGCAATCGATTCAGGTCATACTTCAAATTAAAAGATTATTCATTTTTTCATCATTTTTTTCCTACAAAATGGCTATAGAAAAATGCTTCAAAAGCAACTTTTACACTTATGAAATCCCATACAACTTTGTAAATCCAAAGATTATACTGTTATGATTCATTAATTAATAACATATTTTGATAAGATGTAGGGATGTGTAGGATGCAAATGGATTTTGACAGACACAAAAAGACTTCCTGGTTTGGCATCTCTACCCCTGTACACTTTATGATTGAATATTGCCCTAAAAAGTGGCCCATTCATGAATACAGTGCTGAATATAGGTCAACAAGATACTAGTGTACATATAAATGTAATAATAAAAGCAGTATATTTATTTTGAAAAATCAGATGAATTTATTTTTGTTCATGGGGAGATCATAATGGCAGGTGTACAAGATCCTTTAAATCCAAAATATCAATTTAGAAAATCAAATTTTTGACCTTTTCAAGGCCACTGAAGGTCAACGAAAGGTCAAATCTGAAATCTAAGGTCAGATTTGAACTTCTGAGAACTTGTAGATGTTTTTAAAAAAAAAATTTGGTCAATTTGGAGCAAGTTGAAAAATTCAAAATGGCCGCCAAATTCAAAAATTCAAAATAGCCACCATGTAATTCAGCCAGCATACCCAAAACCTAATCAGATCTTGGCAATAGTCTGTTCTTGCATCTGTAAAAATTTCAAGTTGAACGGATAAGTGGTTTTCCTGGAATTTTGATGTCAAGATTTGTTGAAAAATTCAAAATGGCCACCACGTAGTTTACCCAGCATGCCCTTAACCTAATCAGATCTTGGCACTAGTCTGCTATTGCATGTGTAAAAATTTCAAGTTGAACAGGTTAGCCGTTTTCTTGGAATTTTGATGACAAGAATTGATTTGTAGTCTCAAACTTTGAGAAACTTGGATAACATCATTTGTGACCTAGTTTAATGACCTTGACTTTTGACCTTGAAAATTTCACTTTTTCAGACCTCAGTAGGTGTTTTGTAATTAAGCTGACCTAAATTTAAATCCAAAATATCAATTTAGAAAATCAACTTTTTTGACCTTTTCAAGGTCACTGAAGGTGAATGAAAGGTCAAATCTGAAATCTTAGGTCAGATTTGAACTTCTGAGAACTTGTAGATGTTTTTAAAAAAAAAATTTGGTCAATTTGGAGCAAGTTGAAAAATTCAAATTGGCCGCCAAATTCAAAATGGCCACCATGTAATTCAGCCAGCATACCCAAAACCTAATCAGATCTTGGCAATAGTCTGCTATTGCATCTGTAAAAATTTCAAGTTGAACGGATAAGTGGTTTTCCTGGAATTTTGATGACAAGATTTGTTGAAAAATTCAAAATGGCCGCCACATAGTTTACCCAGCATGCCCTTAACCTAATCAGATCTTGGTACTAGTCTGCTCTTGCATCTGTAAAAATTTCAAGTTGAACAGGTAAGCAGTTATCCTGGAAATTTGATGACAAGATTTGGTTTATGTCCCGCCCGCCCGCACGCCCGCCCAACAGCACAAGACGACGACAATATAGCACTTTTTCAAAGTGCGATAAAATTGTGTTTCTCTGAACTCCAATCAAAACTACTTGTCATTATCTGTTTCTCATTTAAAATATAATTTTAAATTACATTCAAAAATCATTTACAATCATACCAATAGTGTTAAACACAATAGTATGTGTTTTATTTCAAATGTACTTTTTTATTAGTGTGTTTCTGCGTTTCCATGTGTATTGAATATTGATTTGTTTTTCTCTATTCATTTACTCATTTATATTGCATCTTAGTATGATACATACAATCCAATATTCTGGATACAATCCAAGTGCATGTGTATTAGGAGTCCATTAGAATGTACATTAGAGTGATTAAACCATTCAAGATTTTGTAGTCAAATGGGTCTGGATTCAATCCATAAATCTGTTGTAAAATGTCCTCATTATATTTAGTATTGTGCAAAATGCCACCTATACTATCATTATATGTATGGTTATAACAACTGATTAAGGAGTTCTTAACTTTACAACATGAGCCAATATTTAGATTTAACCCAAAAAGCATCGCTAGATAATAGAACGCTGTACATGTTGGAACATACATGATGCCGTAAATATCAGTGACAATTCTACTCTGTTGCCAATATATCCTAGCACTTCTACATCCTGGTATCTATACATCCTGGCACTTTACAACTTGGTATCGTACACTTCAGAAGGATCTTCCTCCACAGTGTTTCCCGTAGCTTGTACACTGTCTGGTATACTTTCTCCTGAAAAGGAAATTACATAAATTAAAAGAACTCATTTACAGTAAAAAATGAACCCCTCTCACTTGTATGTATATTTTATCACAACCCAATTCATTTTCCATTTACTCTTACATAGTTCATAACATTCATTTACCACTAACTGGCATGCAATACATATACACATACATGCAACAGTAAACGTAAAAAGAACATGGGTTCATATGGCTGCATTCATTAAATATTAGGCAAAATCAGGTCAAATAATCAATGTTTACAGTGTCAGAAATGTTAACCCATTCCTTCCATGCAGACAGCTGGAAAACATGTACATTCGATGTAAAAAACCCTAAACCAACAAGACATGACAACTACACCTTGATGATTTGACCATGTAGTCTCTCTTGCATCTGAGATTACAAAACAGCACAGAGATGAAGATAACAATATGCTTTCAGAACATTCTTGATTTGAAAAATTGCTAAATCATGGACAGATGGATGCAAGAGTGTATCTTTTCTTGAGAGGGTGCCTTTGTGTTTCATTATGGGGTGGGGGAAGCAAAGCAGGGAATCCATGAAAAGTGCATGTCTTAATCCACATACATATCTCCATGCTTCACTGATGTAAACATTGCCTACTCCTGAAAGATGAACACTGCACATTAAAATGTTGATGAATCAAATATTGAAGACTACAGATATAATATCAGTAAAATGACATGTCTTGTTCTTGTAAATGAACGTTATGTGATAATAACCAAGTATGAAATTGAAAATTATTCACAATTTATAGACTTGTTTTAAGAATACATACCTCATATTACCTCATGTTGTCACTTTTCTGAGTGCACTTCTGCCTCCAGTGTTTCTGATAGCAATCATCAGCTCTTCACGAGGGTCAAGCTGGGGCTCAAACCTTGGGTTCACTTTCCTCGGCTTAGATGGTTTCAACATTGATTGAGGGTTTACTGGAATGTTTATTTCAGGGGCAGGTGGTGGGGAGGGGGGCTTGCTGGGTACACTCTGGGACCTGATAGCCTGAGGTCTGTTAAACGAGCCTGAAGGCCTCAGTATTGATTGTGGGTTATCTGGGAGGACAACTGCAGGTCTACCACCATTACTTGCATGTGATTTCTTTGGCTGCCATTTTGCGTCTGGTTCTTTTTTCTGTGGGGGTTCCCATTTGGCATCAGCTTCCTTTTTCTTTGGGGGCTCCCATTTGGCATCAGGAGTTTTATGTTCAATAACAGATATGTGCTTCCTTTGTGTTTCAACATTAGACACAGATCTCTGGACAATTGGCTTATCTGTTTCTTCAACAGGAGTTCGTGGCTTGATGAAGGGTATAAGGAATGATGGTGAAGGGGGTCTAGCAAATGAGCTTTCCACTCTGCTCTGAGATATTGCTGGTTTAATAGAAAAGCCTGTATCGTCACGTACACTGCTTGGCCTCTGGAGGCTTTTAGCACGTGTTGGCTTTGGTTCAGTCTTTGGACCAGGTCTTGGTAGTGTATTTGGTGGGTCATTAATTTTATTTGGTGGGTCATTAGTCTTTGTGGTAACTGTCACGTTACTATAAGTGCTACTTTGAGGTGGGGATATCTGAAATTCGGGTTCAACCCTAGATGATGTATTTATCTCTATCCTAGATGCATTAACAGGAATTACTTTCTTTTGGGTAAAGTTTTCCTGTTTTTGTGGTGCACTATCTGGCTTCAGATCTTGCATATTTTTCTCCAATTGTGACATCATCTTCTGTTGCATCTCAACTCGTTTCTGCATGGTTTGCAACTGGGAGGAGGAGGAGGGCACAATTTGCTTCTCTGCAAGTAGTTTCTGGTTTTCCAGTAGCTGATCCTGCCACATACTAAATTGCTGCTGTAGCTGGTTATATTGCTCCTCCAGTTGCTTCTGCTGGTCTGTTGTATCAGGCTTCATGGTTGTCACTGGCTCTTTTGATTGGAGCATTACTGGCTTGGGAGATGTCACAGGCGCTAGTTTTATTTCAGTTTCAACTCTGCTTCGTGTAGGACTTGCTGGGGGTTTTTCATCATATTGCAAAGATCTTTTATTGTCTATATTTACATTTATAGTGGTGGGTTCACCTTCTTTCTTAACAGAAGTAGTGTCTAAAGCAGGGAGTGCTATTCGAGATATAGACTTCTCTGATAAGACATTTTCCTGTTCATTTTCAGTGATATATTGAGCATGCTGAGAAGCTGTACGTCGTACAAAGCCTCGATTGCCTCGCATAGACTGAGGTTCCTGTACCTGACCCCCTATACGGAAAGTAGTCCCTGGGGGTGAGGGCTCAGAATTATTGTATGATGAGGTATCCTTAGCACCATTCACTTCTGATCTTACTGGCTCAGAGCTAGAATCATAACTGTTTGTTTGTGTAGCAGGCACTTTCTTAACAGCCTCAGCTTTAGGAATCGTGCTCACAACTACATAATTGTCTTTGGGCTTATTATTCACAAATGTCACTTGTTCTTTTTCAATTATAAATTCCTCTTTAGCATTGTCCAATGTGGTGTCATCTGTTTTATCCCTTTCAGTAGCTAAATGATCCATTGTAATAAATATTTCCTCGTTAGGCCGCAAAGATTGAATTCTAGTGTCTGTCTCAGATTCAGATGTTGTAGTTTCATGTGTCGGGGTATGCATGGCAACAGCATATGTTGCCCTAGCGATGATGAAATCATCATTGTCTGTGTAATCTTGGCTGGAGGAATCCTCTTGGACCTCGGGTTTTATAACAGTTGTTGTTTCACGTCTGATCTCAACATTATCTTTTATTATATTCTGCCCTTCAATTTTGACAATGACAGGTTCCTGATTGGGAACATCTGATAAGGACCTCTGTTTCACTAGTTTTATCCCGACTCTATCTCTTGTCTCCTTAAAGTCAGCTAAGTAATCACTCTCAGAATCAGACGTAGCTGTATCTGTGTTCACTGTGTACTTATTCACAGAGCTTATATCTGATTGGTTGTCGGATATATGGAGCTCACGATCTGAATATGCAGAAGTTTCCGAGTCCCGGCGTTGAACACCAGCTGGAGGGACCTGGAGTGTTTCAGTGTCATCATTTTTTGCACTCTCTGTCAACTTACTTATCTCCTCGACAAAGTGGGAGATCTCCTCCTTTGTTTGTTGACCTTGTGCTGAAAGTAAAAGATTAATAATAGTTAAAATATGTTACTTTACTTTTCTAAATTTCAACATGTGAGTGGTCAAATTAATCAATTTCTGATGTTAACATCAGGTTTCCCATCATTTAACACTGAAGTGCTATGAACATTTACTTGCTATAATTCTATAGTACTGTATTACAACCTATTTTTTGTGCCATACTGAATCATATACAGTAACATGTATGTTGTTTTCATAAGATATTTCATTTATACTACCTCTCAGTCTCGAGGTGTGGTATACTCATAAGTATACTCAATATGAAATAAAACTTGTTAAGTATGAGACAATGTACATTCACTACATGATTCAAACCTAAAGTATGTGTCTGGATATATGCCCTTTCGGTCCCTCAGTCAAATGAATGTGAAATATGGTTCTTATTACTGTCCTACTTATACATACACCAATGGCAACATGTGTGACATACAAAGAAGAAATAACTTAAGACCCATGAAGAATTAAAAAGAAAATCATATTTTTGAAAGATATTTAAGGATTAATTTTTTTTCAAATTTTTGAATTTCCCGCCAGTTTAATTTGAAGGGGGAAAAACAAGATGGCTGCCATCTGATGTGAGAAATATCAGAAAAAAAAGTTGCTTGACTTTTAGTTTTCACAATGAGCAAAATTTTCCAGTTTAGGTTTTTTGACTGATTCTGACTCCTCATCACCAGGGTCATGTATAGAGATTATAAAATTGAAACCAAAATGTTGCGCTCAGCATGAATTTGACTGAAATATGTGTAACTTCACCAACACAATTGGAGTGCCAAAACTGGATGCTCAGTAACTTTGAGTGACTATCATCCCTTGATTACCCAGATAAACACCAATTCACTTATCTAGAAATACCATTCAGTGTCTATAAAAAGAAAGTAAGCAATGTTTTGGAGGATGTGTTTCAAACTTTTTGTAAAAACAATTCATTTAATATTTGCCATTGATTTTTTTTCAATTCTAGCAAAGTGATATGCATTGTCTTTGATGCCAATATTCTTCATCAATTGTGATACAAATTGATATTTTTGTAATCTCAAAAGAAGGATAAGATATTGAAGTTAATAATATGTGTGATTCAGTTGGTTTTTCAGACATTACAATTTTCAATATTTTCTAAGTCGATACCCAGACTCATTCCCAGACTCATCCTTTGTATCTCTGACACAAAATATACAGGGATCAGGCTTTTAGTTTCTATAACTGAAGCCTTTAAATTTTCTTGAAATGATAATAGCACAGTGAGTCAGTGAGACCAGACAGAGCTCTTTGGGGCTACTGGAAAAGTGGTTATTTTGTTTATTTACACATTTCCGTTAAAATCATTCTAAAAGATGACGTATGATCATCTCCTTTACCTCGAGACTCTACTTCAATGGCATGTTCTCCAGATGCAATTGCTTCATCGAAGGCCATGTTGATGTCATCAATGGTATCATTGCTACAGCGACTACTACTGCGAGTTTGAACACTAACACTACCATTGAAACTTCCTGTAAACAAAATCGTGTAATTCTTGCATGAAATAATTCAAGTTAAAGAAATGAATCTTTGTTTAATGTCAAACAGTGTTATAGCATAAAAACTATTCACTCTAAAGAGTGTTGGTTATGTGTTTCTGATATAAAAATAATGGAGTTCTTTAGTTCAGTAATTGAAATAAAGTACATCAGACATTATAGCATGCTTGACTTAGATCGACCTATAAATTGTACATTATACACTCAATATCCAATGCCAATTTCATCGGATGCCAATAAACACAATATATCTAAGTATTTACTTATCATATAAGCAAAAGTTTTAGGTATATATGTATTTAAGCTCTTAAATATAAAGTATAAGCTGATTCTACTTTTAAATATGAAATACATGTATAACATACAAGAAATTGAATCTTGTACAGGGTGACCGGAAAAAAAGGAGACCATTGAAGTAATCAATTTCTCCTAAACTAGACAAGTGCCATCAATGAAATTTTGCATACACTGGAACAGTTATATGGAAATTTGTTACTGAAGGTTTCAATACAAGCATTCAACTGGTTCAGGAGCTATGATCATTTACATAACATGCTCCAAATAGGCACAATTGAGACCAACGCAGAGTTGGATTCATATGGCAAACTACCCTTACATGTTCTGCCCTCTATGGCATTATTATGGCATTACATATAGCAGTGATTGCCTTCTTTAGGTCAACAATAGTCTGAGGATTGTTTTGGTATAGATTGTCTTTCAAATATCCATACAAAAAGAAATCAGCAGGATTCAAGTCTAGGCTGTAATGGCAATGAAGGGTTATCTGACATGTGGTTCATCATCCTGTTGCCAAAGTGCTGATTTACCCAATCTTAAGAGTCACTTTAGGTATTGGGCATAGTGCCATGTTACTAAAACCACTATATGGCACAATTAAATCCCATATGGAAACCAAGGGCTGCCCAAAACCTCCTTAGGATGATACTGTAACTGAGTGGGACCACTGAGTCAGAAGCCATAGGTCAGATAAGCTTCGTTTCCATACACCTCAAATTTGAATCCACCTGATTTCTTTTTGTGGGGCAATTTGAAAGACAATGTGTACCAAAACAATCCTGAGACAATTGCTGACCTAAAGGTGGCAATAAATGCTAAATGTAATGCCATAACAAGGTCGGAATATGTAAGGGTATTTGCCAAATGTATCCAGCTCTGCGTTGGTCTCAATTGCGCCTATTTGGAGCATGTTATGTAAATGATCATAGCTCCTGAACCAGTTGACTGCTTGTATTGACACTTTCAGGAACAAAGGACGATTCTCGGTTTGGAGAACAAAGTTCATCAATCTAAATGAGCATTATCCCTGCTTCGGACAAATTTGATTTTTTTACATAATATAGATTTGAATGTCCTCTTTTGAATAGTAATAATTTATTTTGGGTAATATTTCTAGATTTTTCTCAAAAAAATATTAGCGCAGTACACTGATGAACTTCTTTCCCCAAATCGAGACTTGTATTTTATTAAAATCGGTCTAATTGAGCGTTATCCCTGCTCCAGACCAATTTGATATTTTTACATCTTGTAGATTTAAATGTCCTCTTTTGAATATTCATAGTTTAATTTGGGTAATATTTCTATATTTTTCATGAAAAAAATATTAGCCCAGGAGACTGTTCTCCAAACCGAGAATCGTCCTTTCCATAGAACTGTCTTGATGTATGCAAAATTTCATTGATGTCACTAGTCTATTTTAGGAGATATTGCCTATTTCAATGGTCTCCTTTTTTTCCGGTCACCCTGTACATTAGGATAAAATAGAATTAAGTTAAAACCTCTACCGTAAGGTACATGTATATATGTTAGTGACCATTTACATTGATTTGCATGATCTCAAATCAATCAGTTTTATAACAACCCATGCTTAAAATATTACCTTACTTTCAAATATCCCTATGTACTATAAAACCTAGTTTTCTTAAAGTTTACTTGCATTTTGAGTCAAAAGGAAAGGATATAAGTCAATACCAATTAAATCAATTACTATTTTGTTGATTCATTTTTCACATTATGTTATTTCACTTATAAGGATTGATTGTCAAAAGACAAACAATTAAATTCATTGACAAAATAATTCAAGGTGGGGTCTTAAAGCACAAGTGCACACAAATACAACATTGAAGTGTAGAAACTCCCCGCGCATATCGTACACCAACCATACCTAATTGTTACATTTACTCTTCAAAATATGAATCAACCAGACAATTTTTGAAATTTTGACAAAATATAGTCTTCACATAACATTTGCTTAACTAACAACTGTATATTTCATTTCACTTTTGCTTTACTAATAACTGGAAATTATGACCAATTGTGATTTTTCATTGACACAGTTGTTTGTTCATCGGGCAAGGCTACAATAGGCCCTCCTCAGATATATCAATGGAACATGTTAAGGTTTAAAGCAGAAGAATTAACTCTATTAAAGTGACCCATTTGTTTGGCAAAATGTTTTTGTTCCTTATTTATATGAAACTGAGTAAATATATATTTAGGGGAGTAAGGTACTAAAGGCTATTTTACTTTGTGTCAATGTTAGATTCTTTCTCAATTTTGATGTGTTTGGGTGTGACCTCTTTGACAAGTGACCTCTAAAGGGACATTCCTGGCCAGACCATTATTGTTCTGATATGATAGCTATAACCATATGTATATAATTCTTTCCATATTTAGCAAAACACAGGAAAATGTTTTAATATAGTCAATATTGATCGTTTAAAAATGTAGTGTTCATTTCCAGTAAGCTGCCATCTTTTAAGATTTCACTCAACTTACATAGCCTTGCCTGTAACAATATAAGAAAGTAGCTAAAAATCACTCCAAGGCAAGTACTCCTTACTTTATGTCCAAACTATTTTCAGAGCTTGTCAGCTTGGAATAAACTTTAAGAAGTATTAAATCCTAGCAAAATTGAAAAAGAATATTCAGCTGGTTTTGTAATTCTTAATAGCTCCTTACCAAAAGTTGACAGTCGATGACATCACTTCCTAAGTGAAATCTTAAAAAATGGCAGCCTACTGGAATTGAGCACTACAATTTTATATGATCAATATTGACCATATCAAAACATTTTTCTGTGTTTTGCCATAATGGAAAGTATATATATTGTTATAGCTACCATATTAGGAGATAGATGGCCTGCCAAGGAATATCCTTTTAAGTCCCTTTAAATCCCTAAAATAACATGTACTTCAAATTTTAAGTCAAACATTATGAAAATGTTTTATTAACACCTACCACTAAATGTTGAATCTTTATTATCAGAATCTGGGGAGCCATACTCTATATCAGAGACTCCAGTTGACTTATCCTCCATTATGGACGTGTTTCCTCCATAGTATTCCTTGTGAAGACTGTCAGGAGACTCCGGGGGTGGGGGACAGTCAGGAGGGGGCGGAGCTACGAAAGATGCAGGACGCAGTTGCGGTGATTGTCTATAAAGCGAGTCTGTCACCTCAGCTGCAATATTTTTTTCTACCCCAGCACCTAATGGAGGAGATGCCTCCTTGGCTAATTCAGGAGTCCCCTTGGCTGAAGGAGTTTCCTCCTTGGCTATAGGAGTGTTCTCCTTGACTGCAGCCTTACCTAGAGAGAGGAGAGTAAAGCTTGGAAACATGCAACCACCACAGATAAAGGAACTATCAAAACATTCCATGACAGTCAAGATTTATACCAATTTTCTCTTAATTCTTGCCTTAGCGACTTATCAAATTAATGACTGTTCAATGTTTACAGTACATATTGTACGTTATATTTTGAGTGTCATGGTATGTTTTTGGATTGAGTGCAACTCTTTGACACCTACAGCAGCTAGAAACACTCCCACAGCCAACCAGATTGATTGGGTAATTAGAGTCATATAATTCATACAGGACTGTCATGCTTCAAATCCAACACATAATTTCCCTAATTGATCAAATCTCTCATTTTTTATATCAGGTGTCAAAGCGAAGCTCTACTGTATAGGCATGAATGCAAATCTTACAGATCACCTGTGCTTTTGTGTACCCTTAAAAATGTCTCCAATATGATCCCAAATAGAATAATAACAAATCTCATTCTATTTCCTATGTTTCTGACACAAATTGATGCATTTTTAGGGGTACATGTTTAGATGACACATAAAGGTGAAACATAACTATTATACTACTATCATAAAGTGAATACTTCATCTTTTAAATCACTAAGATTTATAAAAAATCCAAATTCCATTCTTTCACCATTTTCATCACCTTATTTACACCTACATAAACCCAATCCACATTCTAAAGTTTTACAGGTGTAAGAAATGAAAACTAAAATGATATAGTATTTAAAATGATTGTTCTAAATTTACAAAGCAAGGAACCTTCCCAGAGCTTTACCTACATAAATATACACAAAACTTATAGAACATGCCAAAGATTAACTCATGACACCAGACAGTGAACACATGCCATTAATATATTCAAACAGTTCAGCAAAGCGAAAAAAATCCATTAATAATAACAGCAAAGAAAGATGAAGTTAACTTAATATTTCCTAACTTTTTATCTGAAAACATTTAATGCACTCACCAGGAGGCAGAGGGGCTCTGCGTTTTTTAGGTGTCGGTTTTTTCTTTTCTTTATCAAGATTTTCTTGTGATGTCCTAACTTCTTTTACCATACTGAGCGTCGGTAGTGGCATTGTATCTCCTGATTCACTCATAATATCTCCACTTTCTATCGAAGTGCCATCTATACTCATAACATATGAACTCTTTTTTGATTCCCGGGAGGAATTCGGGGATTGTTCTGATGCGGCATTTTCATGATATCCACTAGAGTCTGAACTGTTTCTGGAGTGGCCACGTGGTTTCCCACTGTGATGTGTATCAACAGATAACTCTGGAATGATGTTTAATGGTGAAGGACCATTAGAAGAAATCACGGAATCTGCTGGAGACTGTTGGGTGTGAAGTTTTCCTGGGGGTGGGGGTGGAGCATGACGTTTCTTTGCAGCTTGTTTTTGATTCGGTGTTTGTAAAGATGGCGCATCTGTTGAGTAGATGGTGTTGGGTCGTACTTGCTGCTGCGGTTTCACCTCAGCCTGGGGCTTCTGACGGAGATTAGCTGGCTGATGTGGCGCAAGAGTAAAGTTTGGATCTTTGTTCAGTTTAAGTTCCTGGAAGTGAATATTTCTATTATAATATGACATGCACTTTTAATCCATTTAGGTTACAGTGATATTCATAGGATATCGTGTCAAAATAAATAAACAAGGCATTAACATGCAAAATGTCACCACCTGTTGTTACAGATACCAAACACCAACCACCGATAGCCAACCATCAAAAAGTGTCAACAAAAAAAGTTGGAGACGATAACAATATATCACCACTTCTGATATTGACATGAAAATGATATTGTTTTCGCCAGTTTACATTATGTAAATCCTATAATTCTTTAGTATTGATGACAATCTTTTTATTATTCCAGTGCAGTGTATTTTACAAACATGAACATTGTATCCCTCTATGATATAATCAAATATAATCAAAAGATGGATAATGTATAAAACAAAAACTTACTGATTTTGATTTTTTATCCCTCCGTAGGAATGAAAAGAAGCCCTTTTTCTTTTTCTTCTCCTTGCTATCAAAACCCTCCACAGCATTTGGAATATCGGAGGTTGAGTGGCGAAACATCGTGCTGTTGCCTAGAGGGCTATTACTAACTGACGAAGGGTCTAGAGGTTTCCTCACATCTGCAGAAGCTGCAAGCACAGAAGATTTCTTAAAATATTTAAACATTTCTTTTAATTTAGAACTTTCCATTATAGTTTAGGCTATCTCTTCCCAATATAATGCATTATCTCTTCCAAGTGATTTTTGGACTGGTTTGCCCATACAGTGTACATTGAAGACAAATCAAGCAAAGCAGTTTTCTGGTATACATACATGTATGTGCCTTTCATTCAAAGTGATTTCAAAATTATAGTCATTGAAAGTTGAAATACCAACTAAGGTCCAAACTACTGTTAAAAATAAATGTAGCTTATGAGATACATATTTTAGCTGATAATATGAATGGACAGTCCCATCAATAAAATATTACGACAATCCTAAACATGGGAGAATTCTAGAGGCTCGAGGTAGAACAACCAGAAATAAAGCCAGACCTACACAGTTTATTATGTGAGGAAAACGGGTGAGAAAATGAAACTCGTCATTCATGATTTAACTGGAAGAGTGAATCCTCAACGAATAGGTATGGTTTATTTTATTCTAGGTAAGGAATGGATGTGATGGCCAAGTGGTCCCCTTGTAAACCCTGTTTAACATGGACATCAGTTTGTTTTTAATGTAAAACTAACAGCCAAATATGTTCATAATCACTTATCTCCAATATGACTTGTGTTGTGCAGGCCTATCTACTTATATGTATAAAATATAAACTCATAGCCAAAATTGGATTCCATTGTTCATTTGTATTTATTTTGATAATCTTGGTATTTTGTTGGATGGTACAACATGAATCTCAAATATTAAATAAATAGATCATTTGTATGCTATATATACATGAAATAAAACAGTACTGATGATACTTATACAAAAACAAACACAAATTCAAGCTCCTTAAAACCATATTGAAATATCACCCTGGATTCTAAAACCATCTGCTACATAAAATTTCTAATCCTAACTTTTTTTATTATGTACATGTATGCCTACCTACCTTTAAAACAGTATCTAAGTGATTGACTTTACAATTTACAACATCATAAAATCGTAATCATTGCATTCCTTTACTACAGAACACTTAACCTCTGGTCTGTTTTACTTTTATATGCTGTAAGAAACCACAGCATACCGATCCCTTTTCTATTTTTCATGCAGTTCATTCATAATTCTCCTTTCACTACTTCATTCATAAACCAGTCCACTTTCAAGTTTCTCTAAAAGTTAACCTTTTGTTAAGATGCGATTGGCCTAATGATATGATTCAAATATCCCACAAAAGTCCTTAAACTTGAGCAAATATGACCATTAAAGATTTTTATGAACACAGATTGAATAGGATATATTGGTATAATACGAGACATGATGATCTGCTACATCTTGATTCTTAATAGTAAATTTTCAATATGAACTAGTGAAATAGTCTCCAATGCAAAACATCTGTAAAACATTTTTTATATTTCTCAATAAAAACTGATACAAATACTCATATTTTGGTGTGTGCACATTGTACTGAATTTTGAGGTATGAAACTTATGATTCCTCTGTTTACTCCTTGCTAATTCCTCTCCATATGACAAGGAAAAGGAAAATTTTATGCATAGGAGTGTCTGGCCTAGATTAATGAGGCTATAATTTTTTATATACAGGAACTTTTGAAAAAGTTAAATTCAAAACTTTTTGTTTTATTTAGATAGATGGGCACATTAAAAAGCTAGATATCCTACATCTTAACTGAAAACCATCATCCGTGCATTTCAAAATCGACAAAAAAAGTCAAAATGAACCTACTTAGATGTATACATACACTATGAGATGCAAGAGTTTCATTGGTGGGCATGGCACATACTCCATCTATTTAAACTCTACTTATTTACTCTGCCCTTCTTCACCATCCCCTGTATACAGGGCTATAGAAATTGTTCTGGATCTTAAAGCCCAGTGATCGGATGAGGCTATTTAACCTTCTTTTAATTTTCAACTCTAAACCATCTACATGACAGTGTATAGTACTGGGCCACCTTGATCAAAAGGTGGTATCATACACTTGTGTAGAAGACTGGAATATGTCTTACTTTTGGCATCTTTGGAAAAGGATAAATTCAAAATGAACTCGCCATGTCCTGAATTGAATCAGTAAGAAGGGGATGATGAGTAAGCTCCACATCCAGGTCAGCATGGACAGGTTTATTACGTCATAATTATTTGGTTTAAAAACTTTCTCTTATGATTCAACATTCATATATGTGTATATTTAACTTATGCCCTTATCATCAATAAGTTATGAGATACATGTACTCACTGCATAATTTGAAAGAAATATTCACAAAAAACACCATTTGAACATGTAAGGCGAGTCAAAATGTTGGATTTGTGAGTCAATTTCCAGAAGAAAGCCAGTTTACTCTCCCTTCCCTCCCAAAGTGATATTATTCAAATATTTCATACTATTGAGGTAAATACCTGTTCATCTTTCAATGATTCTAGCAAGGTGTATTCCTCGAAGCTCGAAGGGCTGGGGAAAATACACCTTGCGGAATCATTGAAAGTGCAACAGGTATTTACCAAAAATAGTATGAAATATTTGTTTTATTATTCACTGATATATTCACCACTCTCTTACTATTGAGAATGTGTTTTAAGAACAAGATATATTTTCGAAACACTTTCAGATTTACGCTGGATGAAATGGCACACCTGGTGAATACGCCCGTTGAATACGCTTTTTTCTGATGTCACAGTTATGACCATTGAATACGTCTTGTTATGTTCATGTCACATGTAATGTGTATACCAATGAGAGAGTGGGGAATATGACAGCGATATAATAATACCACTTATAGCATGACAGAGGACATACTGAAAACTAGTACAAATCAAATAGTTTGGTTTTGGTCCCTTTAAAAGAGAGCTTTGTCTACATGTGCTAATCTCTGACACTTTGGTTGAAACTCAGAGGCTAGCAGGAAAACTCTAGTAAATGAACCAATCCTTTGCATCCACAGATGCAATGTCAAACTCTACCCATTCCTCCATTTATACATATACTTCACTTGACTGACGATGCTTTTAAGACACTGTGAAATACACTGTATCCATATATTCATAAAATCTTTAAGTAAAACTCTTACTCTTGAATGTTTGAATTTCAACCTTCGTTTTCTTAGTTGATTTTGATTTTAATTCACCATAACAACAAGAATAGTGGAAACAATGCTTACCTGCTATAGCTCGTCTATCAGGAAAACTCGAGGAAATATCTTGACATGTATTAGCTCAAATCTGATCCTTTACCTGATTTTACAATAATCAAGTTTGAACAGTAAACTCTGAAGAGTCAAACTCAAAATCACCAGTAAAAATATTACCACATTGGTTATATGGTTTTGTTGCAAAATATGGTAAAAAATAAGAATTCTCCAGAAATCAAGTTCACAGGGGAAAAGAATACGAACTCAATCACAGTAAGATTTCTTATAATCTAGAGCCTGACTCAATTTCTATGATATAATTAATTACATTGTACACACTTGGTGAAATTATTTCAGGGAAGAGCTGTACCAATATATGCTCACAACAAAGCTTAGCAATGAGAGTATTTCCTCAGGTTCTATGAGCAACTTGCGTCTATTTAGACTACAGATCAAGTACTTTTATTTCACTTACCTTGCTTACACCAAATAATTTCAGCACATTTGTGAAAATAATCATTTGGGTTCGCTTAATAAATTGAAAGAAAATCCTAATTTAGTTAGACTGCTAAGGAGAGCACGGTGTACTAACATTCCAAATAATAACAACAAGATAGTGCATTCTTCATCTTTTTCATAGACAAACAAACTGTAATTTTGTAATAGGTTGTTTTCATGTTAAAGTTCTAATATGACTCTATTATGTCTGTAATATGGCAAACAGTCAGTTAACTCTAACTCTAAATGTGAACCTTAACCCAAGCCTAAGTTAAATGTATTATTTATTGCATTCACTGACATACAATAGCTCCATAAAATATTGATTACTTTAACTATGGATTGTCTTGCATTAAAGGGACCCTCTGCTGATTTTCCTAAAGAACTCCTAAGAAGACTCTTTAAGAACTTGTGGAATCTTACAAACTAATCTGGCCATAAATACACTAATGTACAGTTAAACCCGACTTAGTGAACATCTCTCTCTATAGTGAACACCTGTGTTTAGTGAACACCTCTCTCTATAGTGAACACCTGTGTTTAGTGAACACCACTTTACTATAAACAGGTTTCACTGTCTATTATTAAAGTTTTAGAGTAAAATAAGTGTTTTTTTCTCTATATATTATTAATACTAAAGGTTGGTTTGACTTGCTCTGACATATTTGATGATACATAATGGGTGCAAAAGTACAAACATAGAAGAAAAGCACATGGCATAGTTTGTTATCAAAAAACTGAATTATGATATTTTTGAAATAATTATTTATATTCATTCTCCATATATAGAAGAAAATAAATCCTTTTTATGCTTATTAGTGTTAGGTTTTCTGACATTTTTCTCTTGCACATTCAACAGGTAACTTTCAATGTTATCCTTAATAATAACTATAAAATCACAATCTTCTTTCTCCATGTTGTGTTTACAAACCATGATGACAATTTGAGGGGTGACATAGTGATCTGAATATAAAGCAGGTATGCAGGCAGATAAGTGAACCCTTACAAAATATTACAAGAATATTGGTTACCATATCAGATAACCTGAAATACTTCTACGTTTTAAAATAATTCTAATTCTGAATGCTTCTGAATAATTCTGATTCTAATTCTAATAATTCTAATATAAAAGAAAATAGACATGAAAATTGCATAAATAATTCTAGATGCAGCTCAAAAAATGAAAAAAAAAAACCAAACAGTTTTTAACTTATTGACAAAAGGGACGGAATGCTATGAAATATTTAGGATGGGAGCACTTAATATATTAATATATCCACTTATACATGTAGTCCATCTCATAAGTAGCAATCAGATAAAGTGAAGATGACAACATATTTCACCTA